AGCCACGGCACCAGCAGGCGCAGACACGCTGCGCTGCTTGGGCAGCCCTGCCCTCCCCACCCGCTCTGCCAGGGTGGCTCCCATCCACCCACCACTGCGACAGCTGGTAACCCCTGCAGCTTCCTCACCCACAGCATCCTGCCGAGAGCCTTCCCACACAGCCTAGCAATGAATGTGCACAGCTGACAGTGAGAAGAATGCACCTGCAAGACCAGTGCCAGTAGCCGCGTGGCTTGGTTTTCCAAAACATCCTCCCCTCCTTTCTTTAGTTCCTCCTTCAGATCCTCTCTCTTCCCCTCACATCTCTTAAAGTCACCTCAGGTCCTCTCCCTGCATCTCCAGGGTCCTTCCATTTCCCTCCGTGAGCACCCTGAGCCCCCTGCTTTCTTCTCACTCACACTTCCTCAGCACTCTGATCCCTTCCATTTCCCCCTAGGCATCCTCTGATCCTCAAAATTCATTTTTGGGGGATATAAATTCTTGAATGAGAATATAAGTACACAGAGATAAATCTGTCAATAACTATCTTATACAATTTAAGATCTAGGTCTAAGATTATAAGCTGACTAAGACACAAATGGCAACTTCCCCACTGTGTTCCTTGGAAGAAGTGATATCTTTCCCTCTGGGCGGTGGAACTCTCTTGCACTGTGATGCATGAATTCAGTTAAGACAAATCCTTGCACTTCACTGCAGTGTTAGTGATTAGCAGCACTGGGGAGGATCCTTTCCACCGTGCTGTAACATTTTCATATACACCCAGTCTCCTGGCTCTAGGGAATGGCAAGGTTTAACAGTTGCCTCTGGCAAGGCCTGAAGTACCTGTGTAATGGGAGAGAACTTACATACTTCCTTAGTGCTTTATAGTAATTCAATAATACCTCATCAGTTAATTGCATGTTAGTTTGAGATGGAGTCATAGGAAATGAATGTGGCATCCTCATAGATCTTCCTGTCAGTATTTCATACAGTAATAGCCACTGTTTTCTATTAACAGTATTGCCTATGTACATTAGAGCAACAGGCAGAGCATCTGGCCATTTAAGGCCTATTTCAGCACAAATTTCACCTATCTGGTTTTCAAACCTGAATTCTTTCTTTCCATGGCCCCACTAGACTGTGGGTGATATGGACAATACAATTTCTGCTTTATTTGCAATGTTGTGCAAATAGTTTGGATAACTTGCTTGGTCAAATGAGTTCCTCTATCACTGTCCAGGATAAAGGAGAATACCAAATCAAGGGATCAGTTTCTTCAACATTTTCTTAGCCACTGTAATGGCATCAGCATGCTTGCAAGAGTATGCTTCAACCCATCCCCAAAACATGTCTATAATTACAAGAATATACTCAAAATTACAGATCTTAGGCACCTGAATTAAATCAATCTGTAAATTAACAAAAGGTCCTCATGGCTTAGCGTGTGCTGCCGTACAAGTATCTCCCTTTTCCCTATATTGTATGTCAAACAAATAGGGCAAGTACTATCATACTGTTGGGCTATCATTGTGAAAGCTGTGATGCACCTTTGGGAGAAACAGTTCCTGTAAGTCATTTGAGTCTTACAATGAAAACTTTTATTTTTAAGTGTCTTCCCTATTGTACATCACACAGTCTGAGAGTGTGCACTACAGAAATGCCATTTGCAGTTTATATACTGAAAATCAGTGCTAAGGAGGATTAGAGAAACAAATGAACTATCATTAAATGATTAGTAGTGTGCTTCAATTTAATTACATAAAAGGTTGAATTTTTATCATACTAATTAACACTTGTTTGAGAGGAGGGAGGACAAAGATCTCTTTCAGTGTTTGTAGCCTACACAACTGTTATTATCTTGAGAACTGACTGATGTGAGAAACTATCCCTTGGTATTAGGGTAGGGGAGCTTTCAAATAATCTAAGACTTGAATTTATTGTTACAAGCTCCAAAGCTAAGACAAAAGTTTTGGCTTCAGTCTATTTTGCTCCCCTCCCAGACACTACGTTAGAACCATATAAATTTCTCAACTAGCAGTGCTCCTCTCTGTCAAAGGCTTTACCATTCAAGTGTGAGCTGCTACCACAGTCCTGCTCCTCCATTACCATTGCCATCACTCAATACATTGTCAGACTCATTCACTTAAACTTTTGAGCCTATTTATAGAGTATCGTAGTAAGTTACATCTAGCATTTCTCCATTACTCACTGTATATCTCTCTCATATATATCTCTCATGAGATATATGTATATATGTGTGTGTATATATGTATATACGTGTATATATATGTATATATATCTCTCATGAGGGTCCCAGTGCAGTAGCAAGGTGTCTTTCGCAGATGTGATTCCAGATTGGGCTTTCTGAAAGTATGAAAAAACAAATCAACTGTGAGATAAAAGTTCCTAGCTCCTTAAAAGCTTTGGGGTTTGGATTTTTTTTCTGCTGCTCAGTCTCCTTATTCTGAACTCTTACAGAACTGTTGACACAGCTTATTAACATCTGTCATCAGCTACAATTAAGTGCTCAGTTCTTCAGTGTCAACGCTATACTGAAAGGACATTGTTTAAAGAAGCATACTTCTGTATGCCTGTTTTCATTTGATCCCTCTTCTACTCCCTACAGTCTAGCAGAAACCACCAATTTCTTCAGATGCTTTCCAGAGAGGCTTCAGAAATCTAGTTTTCAAGATAGCAGGTACAGCATAGAGTAACAGTAAGAAAATACTTCCTGACCATTTTACTGATATCAAGACTGGTTTCTCTAGGACATTCTTAGCATGAATAAATAAATAAACTAGACAGGCCTTCTTCTTACTCTCTTATTTTGTACTCATGTGGGTGTACACTTTGATAACACCATGTCTATCCTGAAGACCTGTAGCTGTTATTTCTGGATTTGACTACTTTCTCATTGTACAATATATTAAGTACCAATAAATAAATAGCAATAAATATCTAACTTTTGTCAGTGAATAATAAACCTTTAAGAATAAAGCCATATGGGTCTATGACATTATATGGTCATAGCTTTTTGTTCCATACAACTAGAATTAATCACAATCACCAGTTGCTTTAGGGATACATTTAATTATGTAAAAAGGATGAAGAGAGAAGTTACCACAATGTCTGTAGATATATACTGACCACATTACTGAAAACAAGAGCTGCTATTAAGCTGCCACCAAAATTAACTGAACTGCTGTGTTTATCTTACTAATGAATGTTTGTTTTAATTGGGCAATAGCCTAACAGATGTTAAAATACCCACTGAGGTGTTCTCCGTGGATAAAGCATTTTGTGTGACACACAGAAAACAGCAGCAATGAGCACTACATCCCTTAGAATAATCATGGAGATAAGTGAAATTGGGATAAGATTCACAGAAGTTAGGCTTACACAGAGTACACCACTAACAACTTTGTCAGCCAGACGATCAGGAGCACATCCCAAAGCTCATTTCTGATTAGCCCAGTTCCGTGCAATAAATCCATCCAATAAATCCCTAATACCAGCCAAAGCAAAGACACCTACTGCAACACTCACATTTTCTAGAAGAAGCAATTGTAGCCGAAAACTGGCACCAAAGCCGTTCTTGCCATTGATCGTGTATTTGGGATCATCCGTGGGGGGCTCTGGCCAATCATCCATTGGGGCTCCTGCAGTAGCTGTTTGTGGCGCTGCGCAACACCCCCGCCTGGGCCCGCCACCAGGCAGAAGTTGTTGCCATGGCAGCGGCCAACATGGTGGCAGGCGCCCACGCCCCTCCCTCCCCCTGCGCCCCGCGCTTCTAGGGCTCCTCTCAAATTACTATCCTACCTAAATCCAAAGTTCCTTCCAAAGGGAACTGTTTACCAGAATCAAATTGGTGTAGAAACCCCACTTACTAAAATATTTACAGGTTTTAGGAGACTAATGAGTTTACATAAAAAACTCAGGGGCTCCTTTCGGAAGGACAGGAATTCCTTTACACTGCTTACTTTCCATTATAAACAAATTAAAGCAGACAGAACATAAAAGGGTTAGTACTGCTCACACTCATGGCGGGGCTTGTATTCAGATTCAGTCACAAGCCCTCCACAGGGATGAGGTCACACCCTGTGAGCTCCCCTGCAGGGACGAGGTCATGCATGATGGCTGCAGGCTCTCCCAGTGGACGAGGTGGCACCTTGTTGTACCGCTGACAGTGGAAGCGAGGTGTCCATAGGAAGAACATAGTAGAGAACATGAAAAAAGACTGCAGCGAACCTCCCCTTGAGTCATGGCTTTTGGGGAGGAGCCTCCTTGCTTTTGAGACCAGTCTTTCGACAGTCTCCGTGAGGCTGGCTACCACCCTGGTCTCAGACTTGGTCAATGGTTTATGTCTAAAACAAAAAGAGAAAAACAACAGGCATTGATTTTTCTTCATCCTTATCTCTTAAATTCCCCCATATTAAAAACTATACTGCTGGCAAAAAGGTTCTAAACCGACATTAACTTCAGAAGCTTGGATGCAGTGATCTTTGGACATTAGGGAGCCTACACACTGCTCCCCGCCAACGCCGAAGCTGGGAGTTGAAAAGCTCCCTAACCTACCTGTTTCCTCAAGAAATCTATTAATCCTGGGAGCCTGCAGAGAGAAGTGGTACCTGGGTGCATCTTTCTTCAGGTGACGTGCTGCTAGCAAAGAGAGCCGGCAGGTCCAGCACATGAACGGCAAACCTCTCCAGCGCGTGTATTAGTGCAGGCGCCAAGTGAGAAGTTTGCCCGTAGCCGGGCTCTCCAGCTATCAGGAACCTGGGCCTGTGACATGCTGGCTGGCCGCAAGCATTGCTAGGAGAAGAGCTGCAAGACAAGCAGTTTGGAAGGAAAGCGATCGGTCAAGACCCAGATGGTGGAGGTGTCTTTCCCTGTCCGGCACACACTGTAGCAGCTAGTTCTATCGCCGTGCTTGCTTCTGGCAGTTTTGGACACCAGACACCCTGGACAAACGCTTCTTTCCTCCCTCATCTGCCACCCCTGCCGCTTGCAACCGCCAAGGCAGTTTGGAAAGCCCCAGCAAGCAGAAGCATTTCACTCAAAAGGCCGCGGGCAGTTACCTGTTCAAGTTAAGGAAGGTTTCTTTTTGTTGTCCAGAAGGTGACTCGCCCTCCCTCTCCAGGCAGTCGTTTTCTGAAGAATGATTGGTACCATCATGAGAAGGCAAGAGAGGGTGGTTAACTTTCCTGCAGGTCTGCAGCCCTCCCTTGCACTAAGCCAGCTTCTAAATGAGGGCTGAAACCCACTGCCTTGCCTGTCTTCACTGCAAGGGCACACACTGAATGCCGTTTCCCCCAAACTGTCCGGATTTGCCTAAGCTGTCTTTTGCTACTGGTGAAAGCTCCCTTTCTCCTTACAATACAGAGAGAGGACAAGCAGGAAGCCCTTCCGCGCTTCCTGCACACCTAAAGCAGCCAACAAGGCCACTGCTTTCTGCAGCGGGAGCCCACACTCCCAGTGTGGAAAAGAAGGGAAGGGCACGGCCAAACACTCCCTCATATTGCCTCCTAGTTCAAGCCTCAAATCAGTCCCAAACAGCAGGAAAGATGATGCTGACAACCTCCAGAAACTGGCTGCTTCAGTGGAGAACCCACAGTGCCCTTGCTGTGACTTGGGTTTGGGAGGAGTTCCCAGCTCTCCCAAGCTCCACCATTCCGTTTAAGCTCCGCCTGGCGCAAAGGTTTCTTTCTGTTGTTGGCGCAAACTAGCAGGGTTTGCTGTGGGAGAGGTTGACGGCAGTGAACGTAACGGCCCTACCTGGCTGTTGGTGCTTCTGGAGTGCAAGGGCTGCATGGGGAAATCCCCTCTGCACGCCTTTTAGGAGCCTCTCTAGCGTGTTCTGAAGCAGAGGCTTGGAAATGAGTGGGAGTGGTTGTCCAGGGGAAGCCACGGCCCTCTGTGAAGCGGGTGCAGTCTTCTGCATAGCCACCGCAAAATCCGTTGCTGTGATTTCAACGGCAGCCACGTCGATCTGCAGCTTCTGACTGCTTGTGTAGATGTGGGGATAGTGGCGATGGAGAGCACAGAGGGCAGCTTCAGCGCAGAGGGCTTGAATATCGGCCCCACAGTATCCTAATTCAGCAGACCAGAATCAAAAGGTCCGTCAGTCTCAGGCAGCACAGAGGAGTCAAGGACAGGCTTTGCCAAGGGACACTGCCAAAGTCCGGGCATGTGGCCCGAAGGGGAAGAGTTCCAGGGACAGCGGGAAAAGAGGTCCTGCCCCGCAGAGGCGTTCCGTGGTGGGGAACTCCCGTTCTGGGAGGCCCAGCGCCCTATAGCCGGTGCGGCGGAAGTAGCCCTCTGAGCAAAACTTTGCTCCTGAGGAGGATGCCCCGCAAACCCTTCCGCGTTGTGGGAGACAAGGGAAGGGACGTAGGCAGAAGCATCCCACTCTGCGAGCGAGCAAGGCGTGCCGCCTGGCTGGTGGGCGAATTCTGAGGGAAGGCACGGGAGCTTGGGTACTGCCTGGCACAAGCTCAGACGCTGTCAGGACCCAGGCACAGGCAGGAACTCGGAGCGCTTTTTCATCTTACCGACACATTTTTCAGCAAGCTCTTCAAGCAGCGTGTCCGATGGCTTAGGGCTCC